ATCCAGGAACAAAAATTGTATTACATAATGTTATTGTGTACACCTAATTATAATCTTATAACAGAATTATAAAACTAAAAATGGAATTCGTTTGAGACCTATCAGAACCAACCACTTCTCCCAACATTGAACATTTCTTTGTGTAATATCATACTAACTGTAACAATATTTTTAATAAGTCTGTGCAAAAAGGAACACTTTTATGATGCAATTACTGTTTCTGCAATCTTCAAAGCATAATTGTAATTATTGGTTTTTGGTTTAAAATAATATACTCCTTGTTTCTTTGACCTGCCCAGAGAGAAAATGGTGATGGGATGCATATAAACAGACAATAATGTAAAAATAGCTACAACATCATTTCAATAATAGATGTTATTGGGGTAACTGGACCCAAGGATCCAAATTACCAGGGGATGGAGCTATTCTGCTTTATCTTAAGCTTGGCTCCATCAAATTGGCTAAGTTTTTCAATTGTTTCCTTGGCATCCATTTAACCCCCCCCCCCTCTTTTGTGTGTGTGTTAGGAGCGACTTGAGAAACTGCAAGTCGCATCTGGTGTGAGAGAATTGGCTGTCTGCCAGGACATTGCCCAGGGGACGCCTGAGAGCTTTACCGTCCTGTGGGAGGTTTCTCTCATGTCCCCGCAAGAGAAACTGGAGCTGACAGACAGGAGCTCACCTTGCTACCTGGATTCGAACCGCCAACCTTTCTGGCACAAGGGTTTAACCCATTGGAGCAACAGGGCCTTCTTTTAAAAAATCCCCTCAAACTGAAGTAAGTGAGGAGATATTAGGCTGCCCTGAGTCCCCTCCACCGGGGATGAGAAGGGTGGGGTATAAATATAGGAAATAAATAAATTATATGAATTCCAGGACTAATACACTTTTAGTACCCGTGTGAAAGCATTTCATGGAAGAGGAGAACTTAGGCTCCACTGGATCCATCATGAAATGTAAGAAGGGTGGCTTGAAATGGGTGGAGGGGAGCACTGTGGTGGGAAAAGGGGGGGAAAAAATGAGAAAAAAAGGGGGAGAAATGTTAGAGTAAAATAATAAAATAACATGTTAAAGAGGTTGATGTACAAAATATTCGAAAGGCCTTTGACTACGGATCTCCTCTTTCACCCAGAGAGTGGATATCCAAAGCATTTTATAGTCTTCATTACACTCTTCCAGGATACAGAATATCATTCCTTAAAAGTGCTCCCAATTGCTATAGTAAATTAAACTCTTGATCAAATGAACCCCCAATTAATTGGAAATGCACCAGTGTTTTGAAATTGCACTTAATTTTAAATCAATCCAATATTTTAAAAAGGTTAATTTAAGCACGCACCATCTTTGAAGTGATATTCCACATTTACATGGGAGGGAATAATTCTTCTATTGCTGATCGTTTCCCATCTGAAAACAAGGTATGCCCTATCTTTAAAATGGGTTGATTAAAATGTAAATTTCCTTTAACATTCACTTACTCAATAAAAATGCTGCATATCGTTTCTGGTGTTCTAGGAACCAGTATAACTTATACACATAGCCTGAAGGCGATTTTATACACAATATTTGTCGTAATTTTGTGCATGAAACAAAGTTTGTGCACATTGAATCTTCAGAAAGCAAAGTTGACATTATCTCAGGTACTCATATGGACAATTTTGGAATATTTCAGAATTCCAGTTAAATAATACTCAGCCTGTATTATCTCTGAATTCAGGTGGCTAACAGCCCTGGCGTAAAATGTTATTGCATAGGATTGCACTTTGATCTGGTGATACACAAAAAGCTACTACTATCTTCCTTCCGTCACTACCAACCCCCTTTAACCCTCTTTTGCATCTTTATTTTTTACTGCATATTTTGGTAGCTTGTTTATAGGTGGTAACAATGCATTGGATGCTACAACATTTATATACTTGATAAGTACAATTATTTGCAGTCCAGCAAATAACAACTAAATAACCCTCATTTTGTTTCCACTAAAACAGAATTGTCTAAACTTGGGGTGTCAAACACATTTTCACTGAGGCCACCATCCTTAAGGTTGTCTTCAAACAACCATTTGCAATTATAAGATTGTATGAATATAACTATGTTGCTCTGGCACTGAAAGTCTCATGGGCCACATAAAAATACGTGGCAGGATAGATAGGGTCCGTGGTCCTTGTGTTTGATACATATGGTCTAAATCAGTGGTTCTCAGCCTGGGGTCCCCAGATGTTTTTGGCCTACAACTCCCAGAAATCCCAGTCAGTTTACCAGCTGTTCGGATTTCTGGGAGTTGAAGGCCAAAAACATTTGGGGACCCCAGGTTGAGAACCACTGGTCTAAATAATCTCAGAGTGGTGGAAAACTTGAAAGGGCGGGGAAGGAATGTATGTATACTATAGAATGAATACAAGTTGACACCACTTTATGCTATGGAATCATGGGAGCGGTAGGTTTTCACAGTCTTTCACCTTCTCCACCAAAGACTGCTAGTGTCTCACCAAACTAAAACTCCCAGGACTCCATAGTATTGAGTTGCGGCAATTAAAGAGGTGTCAATTTGCATTACCATAATTCTACAGTGTTGATGCACCCATGGCTTTTTTGTTTGTTTTAGCAGTTGCTTCTATTGAAAGATCTGTCCCTACATGGACAGCCCTACATGGTTTGGGTCCCGGTTACCTAAAGGATCACCTTCTCCCATACAATCTGCCTCACACACTTCGGTCTTCTGGGGGGCATCTGTTCCAACCAGCCAGAACCCAACTGGCAACCACCACCCAGAGGACCTTTTTATCGGCCGTCCCACAACTGTGGGATGACTTGCTGGAAGAACTCCAACTGCTAAATGACCTGTTGGAATTTAAAAACCATGTAAAGATCTATCTCTTCCAGCAGGTCTACCCAGAGTCTTGAAACATGAATTTTAAGTGTCTGTTGTTTGATCTCGGTTTTGTGTATTTTAGTATGTATTTTGTAGAGGTATGTTTTGGTGTGTAACTTTGATGGAGGTACTTTTTAGTGTGTGCATTTGTAGTGTTTCTGCTGTGCTTATGTATTTTAATTGTTTCATAACCCACCTCCAAGAGAGACGGGTAAGAAATAAATAAATAAATAATAATAATAATTACAAGCCAAGGAGGACCATTCCTCCCTACCTCTGTTTCTTTCTTATTTTCTCTCTTCCTTCCAGTCTTTCTTCCCCTTCTCTCTTTTATTCCTTTCTAATAATAATAATAATAATAATAATAATAATAATAATAATAATACTCAGCTGCTCGGTTTCTGCTGAGTAATACTCAGCTGCTGCAAGAAGATTGTGCAGACCAATTACAAGCAGAGGCATAACACTGTTGCTCAGATGATCCATTGGAACTTGTGCCGCAAATACCACCTGCCTGCAACAAAGAACTGGTGGGATCACAAGCCTGAAAAAGTTACAGAAAATGAAAACGCCAAACTACTCTGGGACTAGGTTGTTGTAGGCTATATGGCCATGTTCTAGATACTAGAATAACATGGCCATATAGCCCGAACCTACAACAACCAGTGATTCTGGCCATGAAAGCCTTCAACAATACTCTGGGACTTCTAAATTCAGACTGACAGAGTTTTGGAGTACAATAATCCTGATCTCACAACCGTGGGAGAAAAATCAGTATGGATCGTTGACTGGAAAAGTTTACACTATATGAGGATTTAAAGATAGAACTGCAAAGACCTTGGCACAAGCCAGTAAAGGTAGTCTCAGTGGTGACTGGTACACTGGGTGCAATGCCTAAAGACCTTGGTCTGCACTCAAAAACAATCAGCGCTGACAAAATTACCACTTATCAGCTGCAAAACATCACCCTACTCGGATATGCACACATTCACCGATACATCACACAGTCCTAGACGTATGATGTATGTCCGACGTGTGATCAAATACAAAAGCCAGCATAGTGATCTTATTTGCTATGTACTAATCTTGTTATGTATCAAATAATATTTTATTCATAACCCGCCCTATCTCCCCAGGGGGACTCAGAGCGTTTTCCATACAAAAAAGTGGCAAACGTTCAATGCCATTAATGAAAACACACAAACCAACTCAGATCAATAATACATCAACATCAGTATAACTTATAACAACAACAACAAGAACAACAAAACTTTATATATTCTGCCCTTTCTCCCTGAGGGGACTCAATAAATAAATTACATAACCAAAGCAAATAAATTAAAATAGTATAAAATAATTAGTTAAAAGCATAATAAAATCTCATCTTGTGAGATTCCTTCTTCCTCCCCTCCTGGCCCCCTTTTCTTCCTTTTTCTCTTCCTTCTTCCTTTCTCTTCCCTTTCCTCCCCCTCTTCCTTCCTCCTTCCTTCCTTCCTCCTTTCTTTCTCCCCTCTCTCCTTTCTTCCTTCTCTTCCTTCCTCTTCTTTCTTCCTCCTTCCTTCATTCTCTTCTTTCTTCTTCCTTCCTTCCTCTCTCCTTTTCCTCCTCTTTTCTTCCCTTCTCTTCCTTTCTTCCCTTCTCCCACCTCTTTTTTTGCTCCTCTCTTCCTTCCCTTATTTCTTTCTCCTTTTCTTTCTTCCGTCTTATCTTCCTTCTTCTTCCTTTCTTCCTTCCTCTCCCACTCTTTTTCTTTCTCTTCTTCCCTCTTTCTTCCTCTCTCCTCTTCCTTCCTTCTCTTCTTCCTCTCTCTCCATATTTTTCTTTCTTTTCCTTCCTTTCTTTCTCCTTCCCTCCTTTCTTTTCCTTCCTTCTCCCTCCCTCTTTATTTGTCTTCCTTTCTCAATCCAAGGTTCTCTTTTTTCTCCTCCCATGTCCCTCCCTCCCTCTCCCTCTGTTTCTTCCTGCCTGCCTGCCTTTCCTCCTTCCCTCACCTGGGCGCACCTGTGCACACCTGAGCCTGCGCAGGGCTCCCTCATTCTCTTTCTCCTCCTCCTCCTCCTCCTCCTCGGAGTCCCTCTCTCCCTTCCCTTCCCCGCCCCTCGCGCTCCCGGGCCACGCAGGCGCACTGGAGCTCGGCCGGCAACCCTCCCGGGGCTCGGCTCAGCGCTGTCATGGCGGCAGAGAGCAGCAGCAGCAGCAGCAGCAACTCTTCCTAAGGCAAGCCAAGCCAGGCAGGCAGGAAGCAAGCAAGCCATGGAGGAGCCCAGAACGGCGTCCAGGGTGGAGTGAGGAGGAGCCGCGCGGAAAACTTCAGGTCCCTTGGCTCAGGTGAGAGCTCCTCCTTCTCTGCTGCTTGCTGGCAGGCAGGCAGGTAAGAAGGCAGGCACCCCCCAGTTCCTTCCTCAAGGTGGTGGCAGGGAGAGAGAGAGAGAGAGAGGAGAGGGACTGAGAGACGCCTTCCAGCCCCACCTGCGGCCCAGGTGAGCGCACGCTTGGGCGGAGTGGCCCGACTTTGTCCTTGCACCTGTGACTGCCAGGCAAGGAAGGAAGGAGGGAAAGAAGGAAGGAAGGGAGGAGGAGGAGGGCGGAGGAGAGGCAGCTGTGCTTGCTGCGTTGCCGGAGTTGCGGGAGGAGGAAGAGGAGGAGGAAGAGGGAGGCAGCAGCAGAAAGGGCAGCCAGGTCTCTCCTTCCTTCCTTCCTTCCTTCCTTCCTTCCTTCCTTCCTTCCTTCCTTCCTTCCTTCCTTCCGACCGAAACTAGCACCCTTCCTTCTTCACAAGCAAGAAGTAGTCAGGTCTCCCCCTTCCTTCCTTCCTTCCTTCCTTCCTTCCTTCCTTCCTTCCTTTCCTTCCTTCCTTCCTTCCTTCCTTCCCATTCCCTGTAGGAAACTAGCACTCTTCTTAGCAAGCAAGAAATTATCAAGTCTCTCCTCCCTCTCCCCCCCCCCCCCTTCTTTCCTTCCTTCAAAATTCTCCTTGGGAAATCAGCTGTCTTCTTTGCAAGTCAGGTCTCTCCTGCCTGTCTGCCAGCCTTCTTTAAATTCTACTTAGGAAGCCAACTCTCTTCCTCTTCTTTGCAAGGAAGACATAATCACGTACCTATCTAAGTACCTACCCACTTCTCTCCCTCCCTCTCCTTCCTTTCTGCTTTCCTTCTTCTTGGGAAGCCAGCTCTCCTCTTCTTTGCAAGGAAGACATACATAGTCACTTACTTATCTCTCTTTCTCTTCCTCTCCTTCCTTCCTTCATCTTGGGAAGCCAGCTCTCTTCCTCTTCTTTGCAAGGAAGACATACTCACCTACCTACCTACCTCTTTCTACCCTTCCTTCCTTCCTTCCGTACTTCTTTCCTTCTTCTTGGGAAGCCAGCTCTCTTCCTCCTCTTCGCAAGGAAGACATACTCACCCACCTACCTACTTAACTCTCTCCCTCCCACATCTGTCCTTCCTTCCTTCCTGTCTTCTTGGGAAGCCAGCTCTCCTCTTCTTTGCAAGGAAGACATAGTCACCTATCTACCCATCTCTCTCCCTCCTCCCTCCCTCCCTTTCTTCCTTCTTGGGAACCCAGGCCTCCTCTTCTTTGCAAGGAACACATACTCACCTACCAGTCTACCTACCTACCTACTTACCTTCCTCTTTCTATCCTTCCTTCCGTTCTTCTTTCCTTCTTCTTGGGAAGCCATCTCTCTTCCTCTTTTTTGCAAGGAAGAATAATCACCTACCCATCTACGTACCTACCTTTCTCCCCCTCCCTCCCTCCCTCCCTCCCTCCCTCCCTCTCTCCCTCCCTCCCTTCCTCCCTTCCTCCTTCTTTCCTTCTTGGGAAGCCAATTCTCTTCCTCTTCTTTACAAAGAAGACATACCCACCTACCTACCTATCTCTCTCCCTCTCCCTTCCGTCCTTCCTTTCTTCCTACCTTCTTGGAAAGCCAGCTCTCCTCTTGTTTGCAAGGAAAACATAGTCACCTACCTACCTATCTCTCTCCCTCTTCCTTCCTTCCTTCCTTCCTGGGAAGCCAGGTCTCCTCTTCTTTGCAAGGAGGATATAGTCACCTACCTACCGACCTATCTCTCTCCCTCCCCCTTCTCCTTCCTTCCTTCCTTCCTTCCTTCCTTCCTTCCTTCCTTCTTGGGAAGCCAGACCTCCTCCTCTTTGCAAGGAAGACATAGTCACCTACCTACTGACCCCTTCCTCCCTTCCTCGTCCCTCCCTCCCTTTCTTTTTCCTTCTACTTGGGAAATCAGCTCTCCTCTTCCTCCTTGTTTGCAAGCCAAAAATAGTCAGGTCTCCCCTTTCTTTCCTTCTTCCCTTCCTTTTCCTCCTTTACAATCTCCTTGGAAAACAGACTAAGTTTCTTCTTCTTTGCAAACAAGTCTGGATGCAAATGCACTAGGCGAGATGCTTCCCCTGTGTTTACGTTTATTTCCAGGTGTGTTTCAGAAGGATGGTAGCCTTCTTAAAGTATATCTACATGCATTATTGGTATTATTATTATTATTATTATTATTATTATTATTATTATTATTATGTTTACATTCTTCTTGGGAAACCAGCTTTATTTCCTGGAAAGGGAAGGTTGTGTGCAAAAGAGAAGGGAGAGTCTTCCATTTAGAAAGATGGCAGCCTTCTTAAAGTATCTGCATTTCTTTTTACTATCATTACAATAGACTCTCAGTTAACTGGTACAAATGTGGATTGGGAGATGCCAGATAAATCTAGCTTCTGGTTGCTTGAAAGTTACTATGAAAAATAGGCCTAAGTAATGTCATACACCATAAGTAAAAGTAAAGGTTTCCCTTGACATTAAGTTTAGTCAGACTATGGGGGGTGGTGCTCATCTCCATTTCTAAGCCGAAGAGCTGGCATTGCCCGTAGATGCCTCCAAGGTCTTGTGGTCAGCATGACTGCATGGAGCACCATTACCTTCCTACAGAAGCGGTACCTATTGATCTATTCACATTTGCATATTTTTGAACTTCTAGGTTGGCAGAAGCTGGGCCTAACAGTGAGAGCTCATCCCTCTCCCCAGATTTGAACTGCCAACTTTTCAGTCAGCAAGTTCAACAGCTCAGTGGTTTAACCTGCTGCACCACCAGGGGGCCCATATACAATGAAAAATAAGTTTACGTTAACTACAATTCACATCATATCAGGTTAACCTTGAAAACCCCCACCAGTAAGTTTGTGATGTTGGGCAAGTTTGCTCTAGATGCATCATTAGTGGGGTTCACTGTACTCTCCGGCTATAGGATAAACTACAACTCTCACTATGGTAAGTCAGTCCCCTCAAACCTCTACAGTAGGTTGAGTTAGTCATGGGGGTTCTGTGTGCCAATTTTGGTCCAGGTCCATCATCAGTAGAGGTCACAGTGTCTCTGGTTGTGGGTGAACTACAACTCCCAGAAAGGAAGGTCAGTTCCTCCCAAACCCCTCCAGTAATAAAATTTCGGCATATCAGGTATGTGTGCCAAGTTTGGTCCAGATCCTTCAGTGTTTGGGTTCACAGTGCTCTCTGGATATGGGTGAACTACAACTCTTCCAAATTAAGGTGAATTCCTCCTAAAGCCCTCCAATATTTGTGCTGGTCATGGGGGCTCTGTGCGCCAATTTTTGTCCGTTTGGTGGAGTTCAGAGTGCTCATTGATTACAGGTGAGCTATAAACCCCAATACCTACAACTCCCAAAATGTCCAAGCCAATTCCCCTCAAACCCACCACTATTCAAATTTGGGCATATGGGATATGCTTGCTAAGTTTGATCCAGGTCTATCATTGTTTGAGTTCATAGTGCGCTCTGGATATAGGGGAACTGCAACTCCTCTAAATCCTTCCAAAGACCGCCAGTATTTTTTATTGTTCATGGAGGTTCTGTGTACAAGTTGGTTCCAGGTCCATAATTGGTGGAGTTCAGAGTGCTCTTTGATTGCAGCTGAACTATATATCCCATTACCTACAACTACTATAAATCATGGTGAATTTTCCCCAAATCTTAGTATGTTTAGTCGATCAATTTCTGTTTGCTGTGCACCATGGGAAAGGGTAGGAAAGGGTTAAGGGAGAGGCAGTGGGCAGGATCATGCACATTCCACACCAATGGAGAGTGAAAGAAACACTGGGTTGTCTGTGGCAGAGGAAACACATAAAATCTAGGATGAAATTGTCCCTGTATGAAAGCTTTACTTGGGTGGTAGGCACTATTGTGTTTGTGGAGGACATTGACAGGGTTCTTGTACATGTTTATAGTGTTCACTATAACCTACAATGTCATTGGAGGGAGAGCCATTGGTGTCTCCTGAATAGTGGAAGCTATAGCTGTTGGTGAAGGCGGGAACTTTTCTGTGTAAGTGGACACCCCAGCCACATACACACATACATATTTTCACTTTGATTATGTGTATAGATATATAGAAGATATATATATGTGTGTGTGTGTGTGTATACTGCTTTTTTCTGCTAATGGTATTGAAATGAGTATGTCTTACAATCAGTGGCTTATTAGAATAACAGAAATACTTATTATTTTGGCAATATTTCAGATTGAAGAGACCACTGTCCATATTCTGGTGCCGGGGAAGGAAGGACAAGGTCTGCGGAGGAAACTAAAGTGTGTTCCAGATACTTCACAAACTGGATCTGAAGACCTAAGCTGCAGGCTGAGTGACTTATTTCTGGACGGCCAGCTCCAGCTGGCGGCTTGGAAGCAAACTAGCCATGGCTAGTGAAGACAAACAGGTTTCTTCGCCCCGACCAACAGGTGACGAAGGAGGAGGAGGGCTTGGTGGTGGAGGGGGAAAAGAAGGAATCTCGCCCGAAATGGAGAGCAACATGCAGCCTTTGAACCCAGGAATCCCTATCCGTGGCATCAGGATGAAATTTGCTGTGCTGTCAGGACTTGTGGAAGTTGGCGAAGTGTCCAATAGGGATATTGTAGACACTGTATTTAATCTGGTAAGTGAGTCACCTTTCGAACCTTTCTGAGGAGAAGGAGGGGCATGTGATGAAATGTGAGAGAAGCAGGTTTTAAGTTCCCTTCATTGCTTCAGCTCTACAAGGAGAAATTCCCCTGCCTACTTGATTTGTCACAGGGTGGTGATTAGTATGCTGTTTTCCTGGAAGAGATACTTGATGATAAAAACCTTTGAGACTGTATTACTTTCTCTCTTCCAATGCTTTCTTTTCCTCTTGGAAATGGGCAGATTCCAAGGTACGTTGCAGAGTACCTGCGTGGGACTTTCAACTTCATAAAAGTCAATTGAGAGAGCTTGAGTACAATATACTTGTAATTTGATTCCAGATGCACATGCTGGTACATCTACTGGCAGTTCTGGAAAACTGTTTTGCAATGTTTGGCTACTACAGTGGTTACAGCATACCATTGTAAGTGCATAATTGCGAGTCCAGCAAACTTTAAAGTTATGATGTAAGACAGGTGTACTTACTTGCTTGTGCAGTGGAATGATAAGTCAGTACAACTGTCTCTTTGCAGATTTTTCTTTAGGCTTGAGTTGCAGATACAAACTTGGTGCATTATTACCACTTATTTCTATATATGATTATATTGTATATATTGAGGTTTGTATATATAGTTTGCCGATGTCTGTTATAGATGAACCCTAAGAAGGCTATCCTGACTACAGCCAATGGCATTATAATCTCATGCCCTTCATTCCATAAAGGATTATAGGTTAGGATTGCAACCTTAGTGTAGCATAGTGGCCAAGAGCCTGAAAGCCATATGCCCCCAGTTTAAAACTTCTTACATTGCCACACACAACCCAAATCTTCACTTTAGTCAAGTTTAACGGTTGCCAGTCTGTTAGGAATTGTGGGACTTGAAGTCCAAAACACCTGGAGGGCCAAAGTTTGCTCATGCCTGTTACAGATGCACGCTAAGAAGGATATCCCGGCTACAGCCAATGTCATCACAATCTCATGCCCTTCATTCCATAAAGGATTATGGGTTAGGTTAGTGTAGTATAGTGGCCAAGAGACTCAAAGCAGTTCAAAACTTCTGACATTGCCACACAAACCCCAAGCCTTCACTTTCGTCATGTTTTAATAGTTGCCAGTCCTTGCTCCGAGAAAATGTGAAGTTTTGCCATTCATTACAATTTCAAAGTACTCATTTTCCCACCCTAGAATGTATTACAATTATCCACATGTGATGTAACTACGACATATATGTGTACTAGTGTGTTCACATATGGCATTTAAAGGAAAGGATGCAATTAGTTGCAAATTGTAAAAAATGAAATAATAATAATGCCAATATTTATTTGTTAATTTATATCTCATCTTTCCCCTAAACTGGACTCAAAATAACTAACAAAAGAGAAAATAAATACAGTCAAAACACTGACAAAGCTAAACATAAACAAAAAGTTATTAAGATACTCACCATAGAATTAAAACTATTTAAAATCAATCCTTAAAATACAAAGTTCACTTTAATAAAGATGAATTGTTAAAAGTTAAACAGGTAACATCACCCCCTAAGTAATGGGCAATGCAACTTTTTCTACATTATTGTTTCCAGCTACTGTCTCTCAAATTTCTGATTATAATGGTGGAATACAATTCATCCAGCTTTCCATTAATGCCTAGGGCAAGGCTGTTCCGATACCATCATACACAAAATTATTCTGACATCAAGTTTATTTTTCTGCATCTTAAAGAGATGGTCTTAATGTTTCTTAGTGCCTGTTCAAATCCAATTATAGTTTGATTTCATGTAGATGTATCATCATTCTTCTGAACCTAGTGTTTAGCAAGTAAAATTAGATGAGGCTGACTTTTAGGCAATTTATTATGAGGTAACATAGATCTTAAGTTCTGGTCCTTTGAAAAATCTTTTGAATACAGACCATAATGTTGTCAGTGTTTTGAAAGCAGGCACATCACCTCTATTCAGTTGAAAAGAGAACCTGTTGGGGATGGGATGAGATAAGATTTTGTTAAGAAAAACATGTAGGTTGATGTACTTCACATCTTCGTAATTAGAGTTCAGGAAGTTCCTTTTAATCATGTACTGATGTCTTTGCTAGGAAAACAGCATGATTTATTGCTTATTGAGAGGCCTTGGGAAAAATGGCAGACACTGGCTGCAATCCCACATGGATAAGCTTCACTATGCTGAGCTGTTTACATCCTCCTGGACCTACTATAGAGATCCTGAAGGTCATTCCATAACTTTTCTGTGCCTGGTGTAGAGTGAAAGGGAGACTGCAGAATCATCTGGCTATGTCTCTGTATCCATATGCAAAGCAGTTACATCACTCATTGGAGTCCACTGGGTTCTTCTTGACATCTCAGTAGCTGATATCATAATTTAATGTCTGGCTGTAGTGACATAGCCAGAAGCTTCTCAAATCGTACCCTCCTCTCCATCAGGCACATAATGGTCCAAGCAGGGGCCTCCAGCAGATCTATGACAGGGGTAGTAAGGTAAGGCTTTGCCACTGGTGAGAGGAAGGGAATCCCAACAACTACAGTGATCATTAATAGACATATATACAAGAAGGTCTTTGAGCAGAAGTGGGAAAGGTTTGATTCTCCCTCATCCTTTGCAAAGTTATAAAAGTTGCCACATATAGGGCTTGAGAAGAAAATGGTTACGTTCCAAAGTTGTGTTAGTTCTGTATTATCTACATGCTTCACTTACATTGCAGGACTGGAATGTTCCACTTTGAATGGAAGTTTAGGGGTCCATCTACAATTTTGACTCCCCTTGAACTGCTGTGGCTCAATTCTATGGAATCTTGGGAGTTGTAGTTTGGTGAGGCACAAATACTCTGGCAGAGAAGGATAAAGGCCTTGTAAAACTACAAGTCCTATGATTCCAGAGCATTGAGCCATAGCAGTGCATGTGGTGCCAAACTGCATTAATTCTACAGTGTAGACATTCCCAGGAGAAAACTCCATAGATTTAGCATCACTGCTAGTATCCAAGACTATATAATACTGTCACACATTGACAGGTGAGAATGTTGGACTGCTGTAGTACCGATTTGGCTTAAGTTTATTTTAGTATCTTTCACTAATTTCTTTTTTTCTTTATTACAATAACACCAAAGTACTATCTCCGAAATGCCCTTTTTATGTTTCTGAGAAGTGCTCTATAAAACCGTATGGTGAACTGTAAAATATATTACTTTTAGAACATTTTTACTTCAAAGTAATTATGAAAATATTCCTTTTCTCTGAAATAACTTGCTCAAAGGTCATGTCAAATGAATAAGGCTGGGTCATTGCCAAGTACGTCACTTTTTCTGTATTGGAAATGACCCATCATTCCTTTGAAATAGTACACAACAACAACAACAACAATTTTATTTATATTCTGCCCTGTCACCCTGAAGGGACTCAGGGCAGATTCTAATAACAAAAAGGCAAAAATCCAGTGCCTGACTACAACAACCAATACATACATAATAGCAAAAGATAATAACTTAACATATAAGAACAAATTATAACTTAACATCTAAAACTAAGATAAAACATAACCTATCAAATAAATTATATCAACATAGAACAAAGCATCAAACAGAAGCCTCAATTTGCCAGAGCCAACCAAATTGCTTGAGGGGTGTGTGTATAAGTTGATTATTGCCAAAGATGTTAACTGGGGTAGCAAGGTAAACAGGGCCCAGATACGGATGACAGATATTAATCAGAGTTAATCAGAGATATAGATATAGAATTAATCAGAGATATAGTAACAGTATCGTTAGCTAATCCTCCTCCTTACAATCTTCCTCATGACAATGTAAGTCAAGGTGTTTTAATATTGTAAGAGCAAAAAATAGTCGTATTCTTTTAAAAGTTCAATGCAAACCTAAATGAAATAGGTCTTGGTCTTGGGTAGTTGTGCATAGGATGGTAGTGTAAGAGAAGTTTTCTTTCAGATTAAGTATTGTTATATTTAACCAAATCGGGGGAGGGTCCCAACACCGCATTATCCTAAAGTTTGTCACATTCCTGCACATTTTCAGGTTACTCCATATTTCCTGAACCATTTCCTATGAAAGGTGTGTTTTGTGCCAATGGAAAATTGTTGCTGAACTATAGTTCTCATAATGCCTGAGAAGCTTGGTCATTGGACAGGGATTATACAAGTTGTACACCCAAATCTTTGGAAGGCACAATACACTCTGTTGCTAGGATATAAATGACAAAAGTGGTTTAGCAGCTCATAAATGAGGACTGTGTTTAAAAAATGACAGTCAGCAAAGCTACAGGTTGAAGACATTAAAAGTTTTAAATGTCAAGGCTTTTCTTTAGTACTTTAGAAAAGACATCATGCAATAATTTGAATCTATATAGAGATGAAAGAAGTTCAATTTTTCTTTCCTTCACTAACCCAACCATTTATTTTTCCATCTTTTTTAGGTGCTTAAATATATTTTAAGTAACTGTTGCAGAAATGTTAGGATAGGGATCTGTGTTTATTGTGCCTTTTGTATACTTGTCTTTTGTCTTTTACTGTTGATATGGTCAAAGGACTAATCAATAAACAAATCTGTCTATCTTTAGGAGGAGATACAATTTTGTCATTACTGAAATAAACAAATATGCCTGTGGTTTTCTGAGACAGAAACATTTAGAACTAGAACTATTTCCTAGTTTAGGCTTTTGAATTTACTATGTACTTTAAAACGTGTATGAGTGATTCTCTAAGAAAACCGAGCTGCTATACTAGATCATGTTATACTCTAGTTTTCATCTAAATTACTTCTGTGATCATTTCCAGAGTCAGAGTTGGTGCTTCCTGTGGCATATGACAAATGCATAGCAGCATGCCCCTGAGCAAAGGTGGCATTAAATATGGGGGACAGGTTGTGGAAGTAACTGTTAAAATAAAATTATTATACCATCCAAGCGGTGGGAAAGGTTTAAGGCTACATGATGAGTTGCAAAGAAACAAGTTTTATTTTTCTTTACTACAAATC